GATATCGAAGTTTATGGTTCCATTTCATTTTTGATGATTTCCAATTTTTGTACACTCCACATTCCAATTATTAATGGATGTCTGCAGCTATTTTTCTCATTTGGAGTCACGCCACATCAGCAAATGAAGGTCCTGAAGGCTTGACTCCATCCATGTCATTAAGGTGGACTCTACTTTGAGGAGGCATCTCTTCCCCAGTCGTCTTTTGAGTGCCTTCCAACTTGAGGGGCTTATATTCTGGCACTATAGCAAACAATATTCTGCTGCTTTTCATAAGGTTTTCACTTGCTAATTCTTTTCAGAAGTAGACTGCCAGGTCCTTCTTCCTAGTCTGTCTTAGTCTGAAAGCTCAGCTGAATCCTGTCCACCATGGGTAACCTTGCTGGTATTTGAATACCAGTGGCATAGCTTCCAACAACACAGCAACAGGCAAGCCCCCACAGTACAACAAACTGACAGACTCGTGGGGGAATTATCACTTACAAGGTTATTTTTTTCCTGGCATATTTGTGACAACCATATCAATAAATGATGGTTTATATCTAATTCCTACCTTTACCAAAGGAGATCTGGAATCGTCACAAGTGGGAGAACTTGACCATAAATGGAGGGTTGAGTATAAGCATATAGTATACGATGCATTTTCAATGTCACGTTCACTTTAGTAAGGATTACTTTGAATTTTTAAGTGGGTTAACCGATACTCAGAAGGAAAGGTCTTAAGCTTTACTTCTTTCCATTTATATAGTGATATTAGCTACTTAAAGGCGTTAAAGTGTTCGGTCACTTGTTTTAATCAAAGATTATCCATCTTCCTCAATAATTTTATTTGTGTAGCACAATTAAAAGTTGTAAAGTATAATTTAATGACATCAACGTTCCTTGCAAATTTGCTCAAATATCTTACTGTGGGTCCAATAACCTAATAACTGTTATATGTATATCTCTATGCTTTTTCTTGAAAAAAATTCACATGTTCATCATATTTTAATGTGTTTTAGTGAGCTTGAAAATTGCATCTTAGATGTCATTGGTTGAATGAGAATATACGAAATAGTATAAGGAAATATCCATATTTCTTGGCTTAGAAATAGCAGTAACTTTCAAGTTCCAACAAGAAGTTCTGTAGGGCTACATATGACACAGTGACTGCAACAATGGTCTCAAGCACAACAACGCCTGTGAGGATGGAGCGGGACCCAGCAGTGTTTCGTTCTGCTGTACATAGAGTCACTATGAGTCGGAACCGACTCGACAGCACCTAACAACAACAACGCACATAAAGAAATGTAGCACTTTTAGCCAGTTGATCCATACTTTCAAAACTGATACCACTTCAGCTAAGATGGTCTTTTGAAATTGTAGAATTCTAGGGTAAAGACAGCAGAAGACATTGTAAAAGATGCTTTTCCAGTTCTTAGAAGGAATACAACAAAATACTTCGTTTAAAAGATAGATGGGTATATATTATTTGAGACAGTGAACAATAATTGCGGAACTGAGGAAGAAAGACAAACCCAGAGTATGCTTTTGTGGAGACAAGTGGGAGGGAGAGAGGGGGCAAGTGGGAATTACTGGGCTTTTTCAGGGAGGGGCAATGTCAGTATTTGGAACCTGACTTCGAGGCTGTCATCAGAGAGCCTCCAATTCTTTGACTCTGGGCTGGAAAAACAAAACAAAACAAAAAAATGCTAACTTTTCCCTTGCCTTTATTATTAATGGGGCCCTGGTGGCACAGTGGTTAAGTGTTTGGCTGCTAACCAAAAGGTTGGCAGTTCAAATCTACTAGCCACTTCTTGGAAAGCCTACGAGGGCAGTTCTACTCTGTCCTATAGGGTTGCTGTGAGTTGGAATCCACTCAAAGGCAGTGAGTTATTTTTATTATTATTATTAATAATGAAAGCAGTACTCATAATATAAAAAACAATAATAATGAATATTACATCTAATGATAGAGTACCAGGTACTGTGCTAGGTAATATCTATATCTGTATCTATACTGATATAGATATACACACATACATGCATATATACACATATACATACATATATCTCAAAAACAACATATGCAATATATATATTTCAAATGACATAACTCAGTTAACGAAGGAAAGTAAACTGTTTGCTTCTAGACCCTAACTCACTGTGAATAATTAAAATCCCCAAATCCCACAGTATTTTATAGCTTTGTAAATTCTGCTGCTATCACAACTGTTACTCTTAATTCTGGGTTAATTCTCCAGCTTGGCGGGGTGAAGTTGGTTCCCCAGACAGAGAAGTCTGCCCCTTCCATATGCCTGCACCTCAAGCAGCTGGGAGGGAAAAGCAGAACTGTCTCCTTACCGTCGCCTGAACATTTGCACTCATGCCTCATATCCCCATGCTGGCTAGTGGCCGGCAGTACCCCAAACTTCAAATATCTTCCATATCCTTGCTATCAAATCACTCTTTACTTCCTTCAATTCCCCCCTCCAATGTATTCCTCCACAAAGTTTTCCCTGACCAACCTCACTGAACACTGATTCTCTTTTACTTTGCATTCTTGAGCACTTTTATAAAGTTTATACTTCGTTCTAGAGAGAACTTAGTTAGTGGTTTATAGTTTTTCCTTCTTTGCTTGCCATTTCAAATTACAGTACAGACTCCCTAAGACAAGTGGTTTGACTTTTACCAGTTGCCATGGAGTTGATTCTGACTCATGTGGACCCCATGTGTGTCACAGTAGAATTGTGATCCATAGGGTTTTCAGTGGGTGATTTTTTTGGAAGTAGATTACCAGGCCTTTCTTCCAAGGAGCCTTTGGGTCGACTCAAACTCCAACCTTTTCATTACAAGCCAAGTGTGTCAACTGTTTGTACCACTTAGGAAGTCTGGTTTGCCTTTTACTTCTTCTTCTTCTTTTTTGAATAAAACTATTCATCTTCCTTCCTCCCTTCCCTTTTTTCTTTCCTATTCCTACCATACTTTGAAAAACAATTGTACTTGTGGATACATGTATCTGTTGACATCTTTTAATCCTAAGGGTTTGTAGGCTTAATCTTCTAAGACGTTCACATGTCAAGTTAGAGCTGTTGTTATTTAATCTTAAACTTTTAACTGAAATATAAACTCTGGTTTTGAGGCTGGATCCAAGAATGTGTAACAATTTTCATCAAGAATACTGGGGTCCCTCTTTAAGACATAAAATGATACTCGTGAAGAGTGTGCTTCTTAGTTCAGGTAGATACACAAGACTAAATGGGCAGCTCCTGCCGGAGATGAGATGAGAAAGCAGAAAGGGATAGGAGCTGGTTGAATGGACACGGGGAATCCAAGGTGGAAAGGGGGAGTGCGCTGTCACATTATAGGGATAGCAACTAGCATCACAAAACAATGTATGTATAAACATTTGTATGAGAGACTAACTTGAGCTGTAAACTTTCACTTAAAGCACAATTAAAAAAAAAAAAGAATACTAGGGTCGCTTCTGAAAGGGATTACGAGTGGCAGATAATTTTCAAAATCTACTTCCACATACTCAAATGCCCTAAAAGGTTTTAGTTTTCACCTATTAATTAGGTCATTTCCTCCCACACACCCTGGTGCAGGGTTAAAGCAAATTATATTTCATATCTAGAATCTTTTTATATGTACTTTTTTGTTTTATATTATAAAAAAAATTGTGTGAATAAAATGAAGAGCAAAAGCCACTTCGAAGGGGGAGATATTTAATAAAGGGCATTGTGAAGGCCACACAATGGGGGAGAGGAGTGAATCTGTCTGACTGACGGATGGCAAGGATTTCATGGGCTGGCTTTATAAAGGTTTTTGTTTTGTTTTGTTTTTTAGTAGCTGCTGACAGCCACATTTCCTTCCTGGCCAAATGCTGCCAATCTGAGTTGTGACCATCCATATCTTGTGTGGTTGTAAAAGCTGCCCAGGTTGATTAGATGAAATGACACATGCCAGGGGAGGGGTTCACATTTACACTTATTTCGTCTATTGGGTTTAGCCAAGAAGTCTTCAGAATCAGAGCAAAGTAATGCCCTTAAGGAGTCTGATATGGGTTTCTGGAAATACTGGGCTTTTTTGAATGAAATATAATCATTATGAAAGTGGAATCATGTTAAGACTAAAGTCAGTTGACTATTCTCTAGGAAAAATAAATGATTTTCTAATAAGTAGAATATGGCAGAAGATAAAATAAACCTGTTTGTGAGGGGTACCTTAGTTCAGTGAGAAAGGGCAGGGGTTTTGAATCCGAAGAGTCCAGAATGATATATGACCATTGGCAAATTGCTCAACTGCTCTGTGACTCAGTGTCCAGACTTATACAATGAGGCGATAATCCTACACAATTGGTCTGATTTAACTGTGCTATCAATTGATGGGACACATTGAAGAATATCTGGCTGTAGGAAGAGCCTGAATAAACAAAACCTGTGTAGTTGCTATAGAGCCACAACGATAAATTGTGAAGGAAATAAGGAATTTGTGTGCAGCAAGTCACATGTACACATATATGTGAACAAATTAATCAATTCTGCAACTATTTGTCAAGAACTTATTTAGTTTTAGTCATTGTCTGTGACGTATTGAGGGAAACGGCAAATATAAAAAGGAAATTCTCTACCCTGTGGTTCAGAGACAGAAACACAAACTCACAATCCTAACACAAAGCTTAGACTAGAAGTATGCACAAAGGCTGTCTCTCAATTGCCAGATGGAGTAATACTCAAATTTACCAACTTGTCCCATAAGGGGCCAAGGAGGACAGGAGAGAACAATTACCAGGCATGGGGATCACCACACTGTTACAGTATTAGTTGCTGTGATTCTCCTGCTACTTTAATTCAGATCTATTTTCTATGAAGCAAATACGTGATGAATTAGTACAAAGTAAGGGCTCGTTTTAGTGCTATGCAATCCAAGGGGTTGATTTTACTTGTGGGCAAGTGATTATTATCTTGCTTAATCTTAATCTTTTTGTGCTCTTTTCATGATAATTGTTTTTTTCCTACCTTTAGGTGCTATATCTAAGAACTGATTTCGAAGACCGTCAAGTTGTTCTATAGTCAGGGTTCCATTTTCTTCCTTTTCTACAGGTGGAGGACGTATTGGTGGTGGAGAATCTGGAAAGACTTTTGTATCACCATTAATGAAGAAGTCTTCTTGGTTTAAATAAAGTTCATTCTGAATTCTTGTAGATGTTTCAATGTGATAGCGAGCTACCTCAGTTAATTTTTCAACACTAAAAGAAGAAAAAAGTTATCTTCATTAAAGACATCTATGAGATTAATAGTGTTTGCTTATAAGACATATACAAGGTGACCACATGATACAGTTAAGTTAGACAATTCAATCTGCATGTTTAAAATTTTTGATTTTTCCTCAAATCTATTTTGGAAAAAGCAGAGTATGAGTAAATCTATACAGATTAAAAACAAAATACATGTTAATTACTAGTCACTCATTTTTTGTAGAGCAGAACAAAAAGAGAAAACATTAAATATAGCTTTAATATTATTATGACATATTTTACTATGTGTGCAAACTTATGTAAGGGATATATTTTATTCTAAGCATAAACTAGAATAAGGTTAGAAGACAGAATAATCAGTAAAATATGACTGTTAGAATATACATTTACTTGGAATTGGGTAAATGAAAGACTGAACCAAATTTGATAATGTATTTTAGAAGAGTGGATTTTCTCTAACTTTATGTCAGAGTTTGCTGTTATCTAAGATACAGTTATCAGAACAGGCTCTGATGCATATAATCCATCGAAGTTGCTTTGCTTCACTAAGAATAGTGAATCCTAGCTAGATCATGTGGCTATAAGCAGCAATAGTTAGGAACCACTATGATATAGTAGCAAGAGCACTGGAAGCTGAATTCTCATTCTAGGACATTCTGTAGCCCTGGGTCCTTTGTAAACCACTTAAATGCTCTGAATTTTGTCTTTATAGTGGAACCAGTAACACGCCATCCCCTACCTTAGGGTTGCTAATTTGGAATCACATACAGCATAAACTGTGGTGGAGATTATAGTTATGGCCCTAATTAGTGAAACAACATTTTAAAGGCCAGAGAAATTTTATGCAGAAGTAAAATAGCACTGTGTTGAAGAGTCTTGTTCAATGTTCAATATCTTAAATGAAAGATTGAGAGTCACAGGAAAATGCATATTTAATATGCTTTTATATAATTCAGGAACACTAAATTATTCATATACTGAAAGTAGAAAATAGTATTAGTTACTTTCTTTCCAAAGATACCCTTGAATTCAACTCCAGCATGCAGTCTTTTTGAGTGTCCATAAAGCATGTGTTATCTAATTAAAGCATGTATTATCTAATTCGTTTGTGCTTGAGGGTGTTTGTGTGCCGGGGGCAGGGGAGAAAAGCATTGGATAGCTACTGACTTTAGAACAAGGGAGTAGCGACTGCAAAAGTAGAGACTCAACTATAATCAGATTTTAAAACAGGTGTGCGCCACCTAGTGGAAGGTTACCAAGGGTAATCGGCTAAAGAATGGGAAGGGAAAAAACGCCAGGAAAAGGAAAAAACAGGATTTGAAATTCAAAGAGATTTGACAGCTTTTTCTTTTGTTTTGCTTTTTCTTTTTCTATATCACCAAAGGGTTTTTGTAATAATAAGAACAGAAAGCATAGCCAAAAATTCCTAGGTTTTAATTTCTTGTGGCCACAATACACGAGAGCATCTGCAGATTTAGAGGGCAGAAACACACACAGCATTAATCAGTACATACAGTATAAATCTGAGTGCACCTGGTAAAAACAAGAAGCATTTACACTTGATAGCTATGTGGATGGCAGCTACTGATCCTAAGAATGAAGAAGGTCCATTTTCATCTTTTTCAGGCAGGCAGAGAACAGAGCTAAATATCACTGCTCTGTGATGATGATAACTTATAACATATTTAGTAGTGAAATTTATAACACATTCAGTAGTGAAAAAAAAATATTTTTTATTATGGAGTCCACAGTTTTAAACAACTACTCTGTCAATTTTACAGCAGAACTCTCATTATGAGACAAGGATGGGAGAAAACAAACCATAAGAACTGGTTTTTACAGGGCAGTCGTTGCTTCTGAGAAGACTTGACATCTGAATCCTATGTCCATAGCAACTTCTAAATCTTCAGTAAATGTTGCAAACTGTAGTCTATCACAGAGTCTAGAACCAGTGGAAACCTCTGAAATAGACTGGTTAGCGCGTTTCCTTTTATAGATGAAACTGATGAGGCCCGAAGTGATTAGGCATGCGGCTAATTTCGTGGACAATGGGGAACCAGAACTCAGGTCTCCTGATTCTCAGATGAGGGCCATTTCCACTCTTCTGAGCGGTCTCTTTATGCCTTTTAGGGGAGAACTCAGAGAAAGAGACTCACGGCCCCTCACTAGCAATGATAATCTGGAAAGCCTCTGGAACTCAATGGAAAAGTAGAACTGGGTACTACCCTCACAAGGGAATTGGCCTAACTGGCCAAACATTCCAGTGAATAGCTTCTTAATCTCCCATTAATTGGCCATGACTAATAAGTCTAAAAGGAGCCCTGCTGGCACAGTGGTTAAGTGCTTGGCTCCAACCTTTTGGTTAGCAATTTCAACCCACTAAGTGCTCCGCAGGAGAAAGATGTGACAGTCGGCTTGGTAAAGATTACTGCCTTGGAAACCCTATAGGGCAGTTCTACTCTGTCCTATAGGGTCCTTTTGAGTCAGAATTGACTCAATAGTAATGGGTAATGGTAATAATAAGTCTAGCATTAGAAAGATATGAAATATTATCTTTAGAAAATTTTAAAAAATTACCTATAATCTTACTTTGTAAACCAAGATTCTCATTGAGCAATGCGAAAACTAAACTCATCAGTAACATATAAAACTGGATATTGAAGTAGAACGCTTTGATGCATGATTTACTGTTTGAAAAGAGTCAATACAAATGTGATAATAAATGCTCATTGCAAGTGTTCACATATATGATTTCCTGAAAGGTCAAAATTTATATTTGTAAGGGTTATTTATATTCATACATTTACATTTGTAAATACCTTAAAAGTCTTTGACAACTTTGCTATAGAGGAACAGGAGCCCTGGTGGTGCAATGGTTAAGACCTACAGCTGCTAACAAAAAGGTCAGCAGTTCAAATCCACCAATCTCTCCTTGGAAACCCTATGGGGCACTTCTGCTCTGTTCTGTAGGTTGCTATGAGTGGGAATCGACTAGATGGCAACAGGTTATTGTTTTCCCCCTTGGGTATTTTTAAAAAGCCATGCAATACTTTACCTGGCCATTTCGTTCAAGTACCTCTCACCAAGCCACTTTTCCATGAGTTTATATGCATCTACCACCTTTGTTACTAGATCTTCAAGAAAAGCCAATGCTTTTGTCTTTATCAGTTCAAGTCGAAACTGTGTGGCTATCTCTGTTTAGAAAGATAAATAAGGATTTTTTTAACATACTGTATGTACATACATTTTCTAATGAACTTAATTTAATTTTAAACCCATCATGCTTCAGTTTGTGAAACTCTGGGTGCAGGTTTACTATACCAGCATCGAGAAGGTAATACTTTATGCATATTATTCAGAAGCAAAACATAATATGTGGTAGAGTCATTTAAGACATTACTTAACCCAAATTATACTTGTGCTTTAAATTTGTTGCAATTTATAGCAATATACTCTTTGAGAAACTTGGAATGATTAAACACACTTAGATACTTTTGAATTTCAAAAAGGGTAGTGCGGACAAAGTCTCTTGATTATCTCACCATTTGAATACCTTGGTTTGGTAATGTCATTGTATTTGTCTGCACTGGTAAAACTAGTGCAAAACCAATATGTCCCAGGGCCTGTTGCTGTTCCTGGTATACAATAATGGCCATGGATTTTACCTCCGAAATACCTTTCTAATCTCTTTTCTTTTCTTTTCTCCATTGCTACTGGCCTAGATTGGGCACTGGTTATCTCTCAGCCAAACTATTGCAATAGCTTCATTCCTGCTTTTTCCAACTTCCTTCCCTCATCTCAAATCCACTATCTAATGTGTCTCACTTGCAGATATGGTCATACCAGTTTTTCTGCTCAAAAGTCTTTACTAGCTCTCAGTTACCGTAAGAGAAAATCAAAATGCTTCTGGGGCCTATATGACTCCATCTCCCAAGTCTCTCCTGCCCAGCATATGCCTCATGCTCTCGAGCTACCCGCAGGTAAACAAATATGCTCCTTACCCCTCTCTCTGCTTTGGCACGTGCTTCCTCTCTGCCATCCTTACCCCTATTTGTCCTCTGGGCAAACTTTTCCATAGTCTTCCAGTTCAGTTCAAACACTAGTTCCTCTGGAAAGTCGTTCTTGATTCCTCAGCACCTCTCCCGCCCCCATGCTCCTTTTATCCCATAGGCCTATCTCCAATTTCACAAAACATTATAAGTGATTGCTTGCATTTCTCTTCCTATATATTGGATTTCGTTTGTCAGTTCGTTTTACATTTGTGCATATGTGTATGTGTCCAGCAATTACCACAGTGTCTGGTGCATAATGGAAACTCAATAAACATTTACTGTATGAGCGAATGAATTTGGCCACACTAAGGGTCACGTGATGAATGAATTGAACATGAAGTATACTGAAAACCACTGAAATCAGATGCAGGGATAGGCAATGGGGAGAAGCATACGTCATGACTTTCCTGACTCCACAGGTCTCCCTGACTTCAGATTTTACTGTCGGGACTGTGGAAGCAGATGATAGTGGGATGGGGAGAGGTGAGAGGAGAGAAGCAAGGGATGGGAAGCATCCATAACAGCTAAGGTTCACTAAGTAAGGTGTGCCAGTCTCTACCTAATGCTGCATTGTTATGGGCATCCTAGTATACTGACCATGGTTCCTTTAGGATATTTTCAATCAGTTTCCTAATCTTTTCAAACTTCATTTTGAACTCCATTACAATTAAAGTTGGAATATAGTACATAGTAGAATTTGTCTTGTAGAGTCACTGCTATCTACAGAGAAGAAGGCCCTTGAACATTACAGATACACCATCGTCTCTTCTATGACTTCTATGTACCTACTTTTGGAACTTGTTATACTTTAGTCAGGATTCATTTTCCTAAGGGGAGGCCTAAATTATTCTTATTATAATATAAAACCACTTACTTTAGGTAGCCCCAAGACATTTTTTGACCTGTCAAATCACACCAATAGGATAGGGTCGCTATGAGTTGGAATTGACTCAACGGCAACGAGTTTGGTGGGGGTTTCTGTAGTATTTTCTTTGTTTATATTCTTTGTGATTTTAATTCCTGATGTTGATTTCCTAAACACGTTCCAAATTCTCTTGGTGTCTTTTTGAGATCCTGGTAGACAAATTACGACTGTGATTAGGGGGTGCCAACACATCTGACTCAAATGTCAGTTAAATCTGTGCTTGGTCCTCATATTGTGTCAGATGAAAACAACCAGCTAAATGTTCAACTTTTCTATCCATTTGTTTTGTGGTCTATAGACACCGTCTGAGGCAATTGGTAAGCTAGCTGTGGGCTGTTTGCCTACTGGTCTATTTTCTACTGAAAAGCATCATCTTAATTCTTTTCAATTACTACCTTCAAATTGCAGGGCGGCAAGGTGTTCTTCCTTTATCTTGAGTCTTAGTTCATTTTTTCTTTCCATTTCGGCGATTTCCTCTGGGGTTACTACTACAGCAGAGGCTTCTGTTGTGGGTGATGATTTGCCTGAAAGGGCAATGAAACATGCTGAGTAAACTGCCAACACACAAGTGCACACACACACGGTCCTTGGACAAGATGAGAACAAAGTTTATGGAGCTATCAACAACTGGGGATTTGGAAACTGGAAACCCTGTTGTCACCGTGAGTGGTGAATATTGATAATCCTACCTTGAGACTCTTCCATGTTTGTGTAGCATCATGGGGAAATGAGGTGTGAAGCAAGTGCTGAGATGATTACAGAGTATGGGGACCAAAGTCAGCAAAACCCAACACAGTGCAGATGCCATCAGCCACCGGCAGAAGACGGCTTGTATTAGCAAAGCGTTTCCCAGGTCTTCCTCAAGAAAAGGTCAGAGAATAACCTCAGAAAGATAGGGCTGAAATGTGGTTGTTTATGAATCTATAACCCACCTAATTATGTTTAGTTAGTGCTTAAGTATAAGCACTTTAGTGATTACATAAGAGAATTACATAATAAGAATTGTCAGTATTTGTCTGGGGATTTACCCAGGGAGATGGCAGCGTGAGTCTAGTTGTGAGCCCAGGTTTATACAATTTAATCCGTTCAAAAAATTCTTCTTGAGTGTCTGACCTCAAAGTGTTTGTACTCTTATGAAGAAGACATAAATGCAACCAAAGAAATTGTGATAAGATATATTAGTTGCAATAATAAATGTATGTATATGTTACAGATGAAAGAGTTTAAATCTCTTTGAATTTCTGTTTTATCATCTGTAAAATTAAGGCATTGAATATGGCCAGTCATTCTATTAAAGTAAATGGAAGCATCTCCCCCCAATGCCACTTCTTTATTTTATTGTTACCATCTGAGAGAGACTAAAGTAGCATGTTCTTTATCGCTGGTCTACTCTTTCCTTTGCCTCAGGTGCCACCAACCCGTCAAGTCCCTTCCCTCCTTCCCAGTGCTGTATCTTGTTAATTCCTACCATCATTGCTTTGCTGCTTCTACGTACTCCATCTGGGAAGCCTTTCCCTGTCCCCTCAGATGGAGGGAGGTGACCTCGCTCCCGAGGTACCTGTACCTCCCATCAAAGAACGACGACTGTTCAAATGTTTATCCCTGCTGCTAGATGGGGAGCCGTAAATTTTATTTACGTATTTTTGTTTATTTTTTTATTATTAGCTTTTTTTGGTCACTAAGGAGTCTCTGGGTCATGCAAATGGTTAATGCACTCTGCTGCTAAGGGAAGGGTTAGAAGTTCGAGTCCACCCAGAGGCACCTCGGAAAAAAGACCTGGTGATCTACTTCTGAAAAATCAGCCTTTGAAAACCCTATCAAGTACAATTCTACTCTGACACACACGGGGTTGCCATGAGTGGGAGGTAACTCGAGGGCAACAGATGATGATGATGATTGTGTCCTTAGCACCCCTCATAGTGTATTTCACACAGCAGAGTCCTAATCAACATATGCACAGTCGATTAATAGAGTGACCGGCTCAGGTCGTTTCTTCTGTTCTTCTCTTGCCTCAAGGCACTTCAAAAATATAAACATGGAAACATTTGGAAGGGAGGGGAATGCTTGTGCGAGAGCTAATCCCTAAGGTTAACTGGAGGTCTTTCCCAGTCTGAGTTTTCTTTCTTCTTTATCTTCCATCCTGCCTCTAGGCAGAGATTTAGGTGGGAGGCCTCCAAGAGAAGGGAATGCTTGAATTAAAGTGCTCTGAAAAGAACATACATACAATTTGCTTTTAAACTTCTCTGGTTACTGCAGCAAGTGGCAACTCCTTTGCCAATTCTGCTTACATAGTCTCATTTTAGAATTCCTTTAATGTGCCCTGGTGGCACAGTGGTTAGGAGCTCAGGCTGCTAACCAAAAGTTTGGCAGTTCAAATCTACCAGCAGCTCCTTGGAAACCCTATAGGGCAATTCTACTCTGTCTCACAAGGTTAGTAGGAGTTAGAATAGACTCAGCGGCAATGGGTTTGGTTTTCTGGGTTAACATGTTCAAAACTAGGTTTATTCTACCTGGATACACCTGGATATTTGGATAAACAAGTTGGGTGGGACTGGTATGTGATATGAATTTGCCAACTAACACCATAGGCTCACAGAAACCTGGGTCCCTCATTTAAACCTAATGAGCAGTATTCTAGTGACTTAGAGGCCTACGTGCCTGGTTAAGTGCTTGTTTTCTACCAAGGAGAGGTTGACGCATCCAGGGTTGTGGATGCTAAAATCACGAATACCTTTAGTTTTTTTGTCTGCCTTTTGTTTCTTTGGTTCCTTTTTGGCTTTTTTATTTGCACCTGTCTGAATGGATTTTTCTTTTGTGTCTGCTTGCTGATTTTCTTTTTCTTCTTCCATGTGCCTCTGATGAATTTCAGCAGCCACCTGGTTGTGTATCAACAATATATCAGTTAATGCAGCATTTACGAAATATGATAACCATTTGGATTTAGTCATCACCAGATCTCGCTGAAACCTCATTCCACTGTAAATAACCATGCCCATGTACTCAGTCTCTAACAGAATCCATTACTTAAATGGAAACCTGGCTCTGTCCCAACATCAGCGTCCCCACAGCCATCTCTGTGGGGGCTGCTCACTCTCTCCAGCCCTGTCTGCAATGCACCCTTGTATTTCTTCTTGGCCCCCTTGTTTCCTTCAGTTCATCATGGCTCCATAGTTACACAAACAGTCCTCTCTTTTTAAATCTCAGACGTCATGGAGTTAGCCTCTGTTTTTCCAAGTTCCCATTATCCCTTGGCCTCCAATCCTGGGAATTTCCCTACGTCAGTGTTTCTCAACCTTTTTTTCATTATTGACGTCCTATGAAGTTTGCACATTTTTTTCCCTAATTGCTCTATCTCCCATGAAATTTTAATACTGCAGATACTCTTGTACCTATTTATGTACTGTATGTGTATTTGTGCTTCATATATAAAAGAGTAAGTTTTTTTTGCTCTCTTCCCCAGCCAGAACCCACTGCTGAGAATAAACTGCTCTATGCTAATTGGGGAGTCCCGGGATGGTGCAAACAGTTAACCCATTTTGGTTAAAATCTCAATAACATAACTGATGAGGAAACGGGGGTTCACGGAGGCTTATTTATGTATCGACGTGCTTACTGTGTCCGAGCCTGACATTATTTCTGGGAGAATTGGGGGAGCGGATAGAAGGAGAAAGAGGCAGTTTGATGGAGGTGAATAGAAAGATGAATAAGACACAATCTCTACACTTCAAGAAGCTTACAGTCCTGTGAGTAAGAGAGACCAATCAATCCTGCCTTCTCCAAATTCCTGCCACATCTGATGTCACTTGGCTTAGCTCTTAACTATCCCCAACTGCTCTATGAATGTTAAGTCTCTCTCTGACTTCCAAATGGGCTGTAACCCTCCCCAGAGCCAAACCAGTCCTACTTCTTTGTATTCTCCATATCTTTTAGCACCCATGCTTTCTTATAGAGGATGCCCAGTAAATGCTTATTAATTGACAGAATTTCTTTTAAAATAATCATATGCCACTACAGGCACCCACATCCGCTTCAGTCTCAGCAGAACTTTGGAGGGACACAGCAAGGCTTCAAAGAGTGAACCAGTTTTTAACCAGATGCCATTTTGATACAAATGGATTTCATGCTATATACTGTACTTGCAAATTCTTGGTAAAGCTGAAAGCAGACTTGTTAACATTCTCTCCTAAATTGCAAGCAATTCATTTTTGAATCTGTTCTTGTAAAGCACTAGTTAGCAATTTCCTTTAAAATTGGAGTTTTCTACTTTATAAACAACCTTGTGATGATGATGATGATAATTATGATCATCTTCATTTTGCTGGGCCACGCGAGGCCTCTTTCAAAAATTAACATAATTCACAATATATCCAGAAATCTAGCTTGTTAAATATGACTTATTTCTTCCAAGTTATTCCACATATGCTAATTAGAAAAGAATTTTGCTAAAAATTAAAATAGAATGCTAAATGGATAGCTCTTGGAAAAGCTGCTGTGTAGAAGAAAACCAGAGTTAAAGTGCTCTTGTTTAAATTACACTGATCTCAGGTAGCACTGTTTTCCCTGCAACAATTTACAAAATCACACCTGCCTCATTTGGAACTCAAAATTTCTTAAAGGTCATGTGACACAATAGTCCTAAAAGTCTATTAGGTGCCATTGAGTTGGTTCAGCACCATTGATTCTTGATCATATGCTCCCTCCTAAAATGGTTGAATGTTGATCAATTCTTTTTGGTATAGCAACTCTGTGTATTCTTTCCATCTACTTTTGATGTTTCCTGTGTTGTTCAATACTTTGCCCATAACTAAAAAAAAAACCCGTTGCCTAGAGTTGATTCTGACTCATAGCAACCCCATAGGAAAGAGTACAACTGCCCCAGGGGTTTCTAAGAAGCAGATGGTGGATTTGAACTGCCATCCATTTGATTAGCAGCTGAGCTCTTAACCACTGCACCACCAGGGCTGCACTTTGTCCATAGAATCCTTCAGTATTGCAACTCCAGGCTTGAATTTTTTCTTTAGTTCTCTCAGTTTAAGAAATGCTGAGCCTGTTCTTCCCTATTGGTTTTCTAACTCCAGGTCTTTGCACATTTCATTATAATACTTTACTTGTCTTCTCAAGCTGTCCTTTGAAATCTTCTGTTCAGCTCTTTTACTTCATCATTTCTTTCTTTCCCTTTAGCTACTCTATGTTCAAAAGCAACTTTCAGGGTCTCTTCTGACATCCATTTTGGTCTTTTATTTCTTTACTGTCTTTTTAATGACCTTTTGGTTTCTTCATGTATGATGTCCTTGATGTCATCCCACAACTTCTCTGGTCTTCTATCACAGTGTTCAGTGGGTCAAATCTATTCTTGAGATGGTCTCTAAATTCAGGTGGAATATACTTAAGGTTGTACTTTGGCTCTTATGGACTTGTTTTAATTTTCTTCAGCTTCAACTTGAACTTGCACACAAGCAATTGATGGTCTGTTCCACAGTCGGCCCCTGGCCTTGTTCTGACTGATGATTTTGAGCTTCTCCATTATCTGTTTCCACGGATGTATGCGATTTGATTCTTGTGTATTCCATCTGGCAAAGTTCACGTGTATAGTCACCTTTTGTGATGTTGCAAAAAGGTATCTGCAACGAAGAAGTCATTGGTCTTGCAAAATTCTATCATGAGATCTCCAATGTCATTTCTATCACCAAGGCCATATTTTCCAACTACCAATCCGTCTTCTTTGCTTCCAACTTTCGCATTCCAATCACCAGTAATTATCAATGCATCCTGATTGCATGTTTGATCAATTTCAGACTGCAGAAGTTGGTAAAAATCTTCAATTTCTTCATCTTTGGGGCCCTGGTAATGCAGTGGTTAAGCATTTGGCTGCTAAGCAAAAGGTTGGCAGTTCAAATCCACCAGCCACTCCTTGGAAACCCAAAGGGCAATTCTATTCTGTCCTATAGGGTCACTATGAGTTGGAATCGACTTGACAGCAACA